CTGTTTCAACCACCTTAAGCTTCAGCCACTCACTATGTAAATCTCTTCAATCAAACAGCGTTTCACCATATCCAGTGCGTCGCATTTTGGCACCTTCTGAGGAGTGCGCTGACATTAACATAGATCATCGTTTCAGCATCGTTTCACACGAACTCATGACGCTTCGTTACAAACGTATTCCTTCACCTTATCAACGGCTGCAACATCCTAACGATTGCATATAGACCAGCAAATGCAAGCTGTTGCCAGCCCTATAAACTTATCACAAGTAACGCGGTACCCTTCCTCAAAGCTCACTGCAGTACATCATGCATTACTGTGCAGATGCTGATGCTAACCTCATCATTAAGGCCGATCAACTGCAGTTAACAGATAATTCGGCCACTAACGTAGTGTTCCATGCTAGCGCGTAATGAAGCACCGCACACATTAATCATTTCACCTAGGCACTATTATCCACGCCCGATCACACGTAGACACCGCTAAGCCTAGCTCACACCACGTGCGGTTGACGGACATGTCTGCTAGCTTGCATGCTTCTACCTTCAGTGAAGACAATCGATGCTGTCTGATTGTGGAGCACGTCATGTCCGGTCGTCTGTACGCAACAGTGAGCACTATGAACGCGGATGGAATATCTCTGGCCCCACAGTTCTGTGTTGTTTGTCTTGAGGTCGCATACATGAGTGGGTGGGTGCCGCGGGCTAGTCCGCACCGCATGCTGCAGTTACTGAGTTACTGAGCTCACGTGTTATTTAGACGTCCGCGTGTGCATCACGTGATATGTTGGCTGAGCGCAAACTCTAACCGCTGCACCAATCGATGCACGTGTTCTGAGTACTCGTGCAGTGATTTACACTTGGTCAAGACGATGGGCACGCATTTGTGTGTATGCGCCACTTTGGATCCAACTTGATGTGCTTGTAGATTGAGTTGAATATTTTTATGGAGGAACGTGGTTTGCATAAGGAGGGCTTGATTCCGTTATGAATTCAATTGACTCGTAGAATTTCTAGATGACGCCTCTCTGGGCTCCCGCATCTTTCGTCGTTTTTTGTCAGGCTGTCGTTCGCCGGGTCGAATTATGGAGTCGATTGCAAACTAGTATTTGAACATTGGTCGAATGACCAGGTAAGGTAGCGCGCGATTGTTTACAAGTTAGAAGGGTCAAAACGGGAGAGGTGTTCACGACGTATGGATACATAGTGGTGGTGGGAAACTATCATGCAGGGATGTCTTAGAATGGAGTAATGAAATACATGAGAAGCCACTGATATCTGTTCATGATCAGGAATCATACACGAAAGGGTCATAAGATGTCTTGAGTGGAGATAACAGGAAGCGTTTTTAAGTGCACAGAAACACTGCGTTTGAGGGTACAATCAAGGCAGAAACAGCGGATTAGGCGCCAGTGAACATCAGGTGTTGTGTTTATCACATTCATCTGCATTTGTTTTTGACGAGAAGCCATAGCATGTGAGTGATTTAATTCAATGGCTTTGATATCGATAATAATGAATTTCTCTGCAAAAGTTTACGACAATTTCACCAACACTAAATCACGAACCTATTATATATATATATATATATATATATATATATATATATATATATATATATATATATATCACGGGTTCTATTGATTACCACAACCTGAGCAACACAGTAAGTTCTTTGCGTAACAGAGATTAAACGTTTCATGGTTTCCGACACAGTAAAGTCACCCTTGAAAGGCAACTTGATATGTATCTTTTTAGTGTTTGCCGTATGCACCAAGTCTTCCGGGCCTCGCTGTTGTCTGTGTTTCTCTATAAATCTACGGGGATAACCATTCGTCGACTAGACAATCAGCCGAGCAAAATTCGTCTAGTACGAGTAACTGAAGTTTTCAAAAGAGTCCGCCTGTAGCGCACTGGTGTGAAGCTGGTGAAGTACAGGTATTGGCCGGACCATATTGCTTTTCTGTAGGTTGACTTCTTAATGAGCCCTTCATCCCTGCGATTAATGAGGATGTCTAAGAATGGCAGACAATCCTTCTGTTCCACTCCGCAGGTGACCTGTAAATTGGTATGTGCACAGTTCAGTTGCTGCACCAACTGCTTCTCCGACAAACAAAAGGTCAATACGTCATCCACATAACGCTTATAGTATGGTAACTTGATTATTTCTGTGGATATGCGTCTTTCTGTCCTCAGCATGAAGAGATCGACGAGTACAAGACCAAGTGGACTTCCAATTGTCACACCATCGATTTGAGGATAAGGGGTGTTTTGTAAGTGGACGCCAACATTTGCTTCACAGTTACATAGGCAGAACCAATCGGTCTTGGACTTCCCGAATAAAAGAACACGTGCCAAGGTGGGTTCAAGGTGAAATGGACCAGCATTCCTGTCCCACTGAAGTTCCGTACTTGCACAAGTTGCCAGCTTCCTCAATAGGTAAACACCTACGACTACGCGTCACCGGATAGAGCTTGGATCAGCGTTCACGCTCATGTTACGTCACCCTAATCCCGCTTCCTCCGTTTCGCCGAAGCCGTAACGATAAGCCGGATGAAGCCGGCCCTGCGTGTTCAAAAGCGATTAATTGTCAGCTTAAGACTGCCGTAAACATAGGGTTGGAACTTCGGTCCTTCATTTTGCACCTTGTGTTTATTTGGTCACATCTATTGTTAAGTATATAGTTGCGTACCGGTTATTGTTAATGGTACTGAAGAGAAATATGAAATGCGTGTATCTACCAACTCTCGTCTTCTTACCGTGCTTTTCAAATATCTGAAGGGAACTAACTGCTTTAAAAGTCATTGCAATAGTCAGAAACAGCGCGGGTGCCCTGATTCATAATAATGAGCACCGTATGGCTCGTTAGGCAGACTACCTTCAAGAGCAGTCCAGTTGTCTCCCTGCTTCTGGATCTGTTCCTACTCAGGTGTTGCATGCTGAGCCATGGTCAGTTACTTTAGAGACTCCGTTGAATGCCGAGATCCGAAACGTGATCACAGATTTCGGTTGTTTTCAAGTTGTTGGCCCGGATTCGCTCACACCTACACTATTTAAGGATGGTGTTGAGGTCCTCTGCGAATCACTGACCTCCCTGCTCGATCATGTCTGGAAGGCAGAGACCATCCCAGCTAACTGGAGTGAAACAAGTATAATCGCGATATACAAGAAGGTCAATCGCTAACCACAGGGATATTAACCTAGCACTGGCGGTGACAATTACTGGCTTCAATCCTGGCTCGTCGCTTTGCTGCAGAGCGATACACTGATTAGAGAAGAGCAGGCAGGGTTCTGCCCAGGACCCCATAGGCGTGGGCGTCCTCGCGGTATATTCAGCCCGCGCGCGATTGGTAGTGGTCGCGCGGCAGCGAAGCGCCGTTACGGCGTACAGCTGACGCATTATTTCTGCCCAAGAAAGGGCTGTGTAGACCACATATTCGCTCTGCAGCATTTGCAAGAGCAGCGCCAGACGTACCGCAGACCTGTAATAGCTGTTTTCTTTGACTTAAAGACTGTGTTCGACTCGGTCGATCGATGCATTCTGTTCGAAATGCTTGCGCGGAGAGGTTTTCTCATGAAATTTGTGAACCCTTTACGTGTACTATACTGGAACACTACAGACCGCGTCAGAATCTACGGTGATTTGTCGGATGCCTTTCCGACAACAAGTGACGTTCGTCAGGGTTGCCCCATTTCCTCATTTTTGTTTAATTTGGTCGTGGACTCCTTCATGGAATGTTCCCTTGTTGAGTCCCACGGTGCAGGCGTTGAGTTGCTGCCTCATGAAAAGCTTGTTGATCTTGATCTTGCGGACGATATCGCCTTGCTGTTAAAATATGTTGGAGCGGCATAATCAACCCTGAATAACCTCTCGCGAGTGATCCCATCATTTTGTATGGGCTTCTCAGCTTTAATATAAAAGGTGCTGTTACAGTAACACCAGCTACTTGACGAACCATTGACCCTTGAAGGCTAGGAACTCGAGGTAGTTGATCGCTTCACATATCTTACCAGCGGTATCGGCAACTACTGCCGAATTGCAACTGAAGTCATTTCACGCATTTCAAAAGCCAGAACTGTCTTTATGAATCTGCGACATCTTTGGCAACAGAAACGGGTTTCCCCCGTCTAAACGGCTGTGTATACAATACCACAGTGCACGCCGTCCTACTCTGTGGAACCGAGACTTGGTCCCCTTCGGTCCAAAAATCTGAGGCGCCTTCAAGCCTTCGATCATCGTTGTCTGTGAAGCATTGCTGCTGTCGGACGGCATCAGCATGTCCTCAACCATGATGTGCGTGAGTACTAGTCAATGATAACCAAGCTATTTCCTTAGAACAACGGATTGTACTGAATGATTTTCGTTGGCTTGGGTACGTACTACGTACGCCTGGTCACTACTTACCGAGAAGGGCCTTGTTTTGTTTGTTATTTGTAAGGTGGCGCAAGACCCGACGTGGGCAGAAATTAACTCGGTAACGGGAAATAGGTCACTGGCGACCCAACTCGGTACTATCAGTCCCTCCCGCTCTCCAGGCTGGAGCCCACGTGACCCTACTCGTGCTTGCCTTGTGACGTTACAGGACATGGCTCGCAGTCGACACCAGTGGCATGTCTGATGTCCTCTTCTAGTCGGACTGCCTTTTTAAAGTGTGTTTTGTGCTGAGTTCTCTGCGGGGTGATGGCTGATTGTGACACGGGGCAGTGAAGCCGCAAGGAAGCTGTCTCGCTGATACCGACTTATCTTCACATGATAGCCAGCGGTTTGTGATAGCATGTTGTTGACCGTATGTACGTGCTCTGACCCTGAGTGTTTGTTTGCGTTAATAAGCTTTTTCCACAGCCCCTTCTCTCCTTGTATTATTTATTCATTGTTCAATTTGCTGATGTAATGCTGTTAATAATAATGACTTTCTAGCTATTTTCGGGGTTTGTAACAGTAAGCTGCTGTGGTTCCCTCTCCACCGTTGCACATTCGTTGTATCCATCCTTTGCCTTCAGAAACGGTTTCTATCCTCTCTTCGGCTGTCGCTGGCATTGGGCTCCTTACCAGGATGAGGACGACGAATCATGTGCTGCTGCTGGTGCAGGGACCACGAATGGTACGGGAGCAACTGCTCCCTCGAGTGGGCACTTCAATCGCACGGATAGCGGTGTGATCCCCAGCCAAGCACATTCATCTGGAGCTTCTACAGTACCAAGTGCCTCTGTCTCTCGTAAACAATCAAGTGCTACCAGGACTAGCGAAGGAACTGGTGGAGCGCCTGTGTTACATGAGGACGAGTTCGAAGCCAGTGATGTACACCCCTTACCGCCATCGGTTGGTATGTCATTTACTTCTGTTTTTGCTAAATCGACTATACTCTAAGCGTTTTGTTGAACTCGTTGTACAATCGAACATAGAATTTGTTCTCGTGCAGCTTTATGCTGGTACCTTGGCATCAGTTAGCGTCTATTCGCGTAATGCACCCAACTGTCCTCTTTTGTTCATACTAGTGAAACTGTTTCATTATGTTGCGCGATTATTTGTGGCCTTATCCTGGATTACCCTTTCCAAATGCCGAAGGAAACATTCCTACCAGACACCTCAATGCTGGAACGCGGATGAAATCGGTCTCTGCACCCCCGCCCCCCCCCCACAAGTTATGAACAAGTCGACGGATCTCTTCGCTCATAAGGCAGTCACTAGAAGCAACTGTTTGTAAGCCCTAAGTTCATCTCGTTTGGCCTAAAGCAAGAATGACAACTTGTATTTTATGGTGGGGTCACACTTCTGTTGCTAACTGCCGTGCATCCATTCCCCCCCAATGGAGTAATGCTTTTTTATGCTTATCAAATAAACCCGGAAATTAAAGTGCACTTGATCTTATTCTCGTAAAACTCGTTACAAGCTTTCTAAGATGGCATGTAGCTTGTATCAGACAGCTTCCCGTTAATTTCCTGTCACACTCCAGCTGATGCTGCTCCCCATGTCTTGTGGATCAGTCTATCGAATTGTTGGATAATGCGCACCCTCTAACTAACCTTTATTAGAACGATTAGCAAGTGCAGTATTTTGTCTCACAGATTAATCCTTGGTATCCCATCCTCAGCCGTTTCTTCGGTACTTATTCTCACCGTCGCAGCTTCACCTGTACATGATCGCTCTTGACTTCATCAACCGCGCTAACAGCCAAACTTGTACCTTTTTCACACCGATGGTCCCTCTTCAGATCCACAACTTCTGAGTTAGCGTGCTTTTTCTATTACTTGTACCCCTGGGAACACTCAATCTCGCGTCACTTCCTCTTGTGGCTAATGGGTATTGTCTCTCCAATGCGCCCATACCATACAGCATAGTGGCAAATCTGCGATATTGGGTTTTGTCCATCCCAGAGAAACAACTGCATTTGGAGCTTCTATTGATACATAACTGCTGGATTTGTTCCAACCTATATATATATATATATATATATATCCAGTGTAAACCCGAAGCAATAAGACCGGGAGGCATGTGGATGGGAGTCACGTTTCATCAACAGAGCCGGCCCACACTCCTTCACAGGCACACTGTATTTGAGGAATCAACCGCACACAAGGCTGTGGTTAGACCGTGGTCCTCTCCACACTGAGTGCATGGAACCGCTCTTCGAGCCTAGCACGGCCAAACGAACGGTTCACCCCGTCCCCTCCAGCAACCACCAACTGGCTCCTGGCGCCAGTATGGACGAGGTAGTGGGTAATAGACAGGTAGGCACCTTGTCAACATACACATCAAGCGCAGCCACACCGGGGATATCAAGCAACAGCCAATCACTTGAAACGATAATAACAAATAAGATAAATCGGATAACTCATACAGACGGTGACATAAAAGTATGGCATATGAAATAAATTGGTTACGAACTAATCCACGATAAGTTCAAGACGTCAGAAAATATATTTTAAGAAAATACAGCACACGCGATCTTGTTATCGAAGTTAACTACAATTAGCTCAAGCGACGTGTGCACGTTTATAGAAGGTAGTTCAGGTAGACATTAGTATGAGATAAAAAATCATTAGGACAAGGTAGCAAACCCATCACCTAAAATAAAAAGAGTCAGCATGTACGCACGCGGTTAGTAACTCGAATACAGCTTATCTACAAACGCTGCGCCGGTTCTGCCTACATTCTCTGCAGGACCCGTCGTCACTTCGGTGGTGGCCCGGAGTGGCCTCGCTCATGGCCACTAGACCTGCCTGACTCAGACACTCGTGACGGCATGTGCTACAGCACCACGCGCTTGATGTCGATGGAGTATAACCCGTCGGTGCTTGCCGCTTCTTAGCTGCATGTATTAGGTCTTCCTGCCACACCTCGGCAACGACGTTCGTGATTAGATCACGCTATGCACGCCGAGCAACCGCCTTCGATTCGCATAACCTGCAATCAAGATTAGAATGTGAGAGGCTCACTTTAATCATGTCCTAGTAACGAAGCTTCGGTTCCCCGCATGCCGCTTCCCAATACTCAGCTAACCATATAAGAGTTATTTCGGTATCCGCGTCGAGTCTATACAGCACACATGACTGAGCCACCTCAGGTGTCTCAGCATATGTTTGCAGTCCACTGCATACATTCCACTTTGTCGCAACCCTTCCGTGTCTACAACTCTGTCGCCCCATCCGATGCGCAGAATCCGTCATAAACACTGTTGATAGAACCGCTCGAGATATCGCACATCCCGACGGTACATCGTCCACGTTTCACTGCCGTATAGAAGAATAGACAGCACCATGGATTTGTACACCATCAGGTCCGTGTCAATGGTAAGCTGATGGTTGTTCCAAACTTGGTACTCAAGCTTCCCGAATGCCGCCGCTACCTTCGAGACGCGGATACGCAGCTCACTGTGAAGCTGCTGGTCTGTCGCCATCACACTCCGAAGGTAGCTGAAGCGGGAGGTGGTTTCCAATACTTCAGCACCAATGGTAATTCGCGGCAATATTGAAGATTGAACCTCCGGTGAAGGCTGAAAGAGACAGACAGTTTTGCTTGTGTTGATGGTGAGCTCGAATTTGACAGCTGTCGAAGCCAAAGCACTAGTCTTGTGTTGTAACTCATCCGTGCTATGTGCAAACAACGTACACTCGTCAGCAAACAACAACATACGGATAGTTGTCTCAGAGACTAGTGTTCCCGCATTGAAACGTCGGATGTTCGTCAGCCCACCATCAATACGGTGCTACACATGAACACCGTAAGCATAAGCGGCATCAAAAGCACAAGACATCATTGCGTGAAGCTAAATATTAAGCGGGGCAGGAGCTAAGACACAGCCTTGCTTCACACCAGAGACAACTGCGAAGTCATCCGAGGTCCCTCCACTCAGATGCACTCTCGCCCGCATACTACTCTGCAGACATTCAATTAAACTTACAAACTTACGCGGGCAGCCAAACTTACCCAACACCAGCTACAGTGCCTCGCGGTTCACCGTATCAAATGCCTTGGTGAAATCAACAAAGCGAGTACAACGGCTGAAGTCGTTCTCTGCACTTCTCTTGAAACTGACGAGCCGCAAACACCATAGCTATAGTACTCCGACCCAAACAGAATCCACACTGCTCCTCCGCCACGCTAGGTCCCACAACCTGACTGACGAGGCGGTTGATCAGGATTCGGGCAATCACCTTGCCCACACAACTCAGCAAGTTGATGCCACGATAATTCGTACAACATTGCTCCCTTCGTCCTTGTAAAGCGACACCACAAGGGCACCTCCTCCTAAATCCACACGCGTTGCACCAAGTAGTGCAGCGCAGTCATCGACGCGGGTCCACCGTGTTTCAATACTTCAGGCGGTTACCGTCGGCACTGGCACACTTGCCTTTTCGCAGCTGAGCAAGTGCTCTCTGCGTCTCCTCTAGTGTCGGTCTTTACGTCAGGCTCGACTTCACATCATGTTGTTTGTGACCGTTCAAGGTAGGCCAGTTGATCTCTGAACGGTTGTTCAAGAGACAGTCAAAGTGTTTTCGCCAGATCTGCATTATGTCTGCAGTCTGTTTGCAGGGAGCACCTGAACTACCATCGATCAGCGTCCTCAGCGGCTTCAATTTCGTTCCATACACTGCCTTCAGTGAGTCAAAGAATTCCTTGTGTTGGCGGCGTTCGGCGTAGCATTCCATCTGCCCCAACTTTGCCGTCCACCATGCATTTTTAATGCGACGGAGCTGTCGGGTCAGTCGCCGTCGAAGTTTGCGAAACTGGATCCTCTGCCCCAAGTCACTGGCATCTGCCACATGTGCAGAAAATGCTGCATTCTTCTCCGACACCAATGCGCACATCATCGCATTGTTGTCATCAAACCAATCAGGCCGTTTACAGTTTGCGCGCCCGATGGTCTCCTCAGCAGCAGCTGTCACCTGGTCGCGAATGTGGCGCCACAGGTTGCCCACTGTAGCTACGCATCCTACATCATACAGTCGCCGCCTTCTCCAGCTCAGTACGTTTCGCCACAGTACCGAGGGAGAGAATGTTAAGTTTACGCCGATTCACGGCTGGAGTGCAATACATCGATTTACGAAACCTTATGTACAGTTTGGTCCGCACCAATTTGTGGTCAGTGCACACTCAGCTGCATGCAGTACACTTGTCATGCGCACTTCACGCATATCACGCTGACGTCCGATGACATAGTGGAGCAGGTGAGCGCGACCACTCCGTGGGTGCGTCCAAGTTGCTATATCCCTCGCACTCAGTGCAAACCGAGTGTTCGTGATCGTCAGGCCGTGAGTGGCACACAGTGAGAGCAGCCTGTCACTGTTCGCATTCGCTGAGCCATTGCCATGCGGACCTATGACATCTGTCCACACCAATGAATCACGCCCAACGTGCGCGTTGAAATCACCCAGCAGAAATAGTCGGTCGCTTCTCGGCACAGACCGTATCACGGAGGATAGCTCAGTGTAGAACTAATCACGCGTGTCATCAGGATAACACATGGTCGCACCATACGTGCTAATACAAGTGGCAAACATACTTCACCCGAGTCGTATTCGAACAGTCATCAGTCGCGCGCTGATGCCGGTTGGTTCACCCACCAGTTGGCCGTGGAGTCGATCGGATATTGCAAATCCGACCCCATTATCACCTGGTGCTGAGGCGGCGGTTCCCACCCAGTAGAACGTGTAGCCAGCAGTTGCTTCATACGACTTACCTTGCACAGCGAGCCGAGTCTCCCTGAGGGCCGCAATATCGATGTGGTAGCGCGCCAGTTCCATCGCGACCAGTGCAATGCGTCGCTCGGGGCGCTCACTTGAGTTCTGGTCCAGTACTGTGTGCACGTTCCAGCACCCGATGCTGAGTGCTTCGCGCGCAGGCATACGATTGCATTGGTGAGCAATCGCACGCGACGTGGCGGTTGTGCTTCAGATATTTGCTTGAGGGATTCCACCCGGAGCATTTTGGCTCAATAGCCATACCCACAAGGCAGTGGGAAGCCAATTCATCTCGGGAATGTGATTGCAGAGACAGATTGGGATCTGCTTGGCAGCCGTTACACGCAGCCTTTGAGGTACTGGAATGCTTCATATGTTTTGCGACCGTAGTAGGATACACCTGCGACCACGGCCAGATACAGGTGGGTTTTGGCGGGTTTGCACCAATTCGGCCAGGAGCTGCCTGGTTTTAGGCGAGCAGTATGAAACCATTGAGCACCCATAGGTGCCTTCCCACCGTCAGAGACAATGCGTGGCGCTCGTGCTCTACGGCAATCGAGCTTTGAGCTTATAACTCTTAGACCTGTTGTCTCCCATGGCTAGGTTTTACGGGAAGTGGGCCATCGACCACTTCCTATCCTCCGAGGATGATGGACTAGGATACTGGCAGGGCGCCCAAAACTGATAGGAGAACGATTTGGGTCCTCATCCAAAGTCTTCGATTAAATGTACACGCTAAAGCAGCGAGTCTAGTACATGCTCAGTTCACTGACTCATGCGGATTGGTGTCCTGGATCTTAGCAGAGAGAAGGGCGTAACGCAACTCCCACCCCGCAGTCACCACGAGTAGTGTTCCTAGATATGAGGCAATGGCACAACGCATTGTGTAGTCCATCTTTCAGTATCTAGCTACTGCCAGACTCATTGTCACGGACTTTACAATATATATATATATATATATATATATATATATATATATATATAATTGTTGGCCGCATCCGGTTTCGGATTTGCCTGTCACTATGGCCAGCCACCGGACGCCTCCGCCTACAGAAGGACAATGCGTGGCTTGCGCTGCACCACCCACAGCTCCATCCACACACCCCATATCCAGTGTAAACCCGAAGGAATAAGACCGGGTGGCATGTAGATGGGAGCCACGTTTCATCAACGGAGCCGGCCCACACCCCTTTACAGGCAAACACAAGCACGCTGTATTTGTGGAATCAAGCGCACACAAGGTGGTGATTGGACCGTGGTCCGCTCCACACTGAGTGCATGGAACCACTCTTCGTCCCTACGCGATCACGAGGATGGTTCACCGCATCCCCTGCAGCAACGAATAACTGTTTGGTCGAGGCAGTATAGACCCGGTAATATATATACTTATGTGTATATATTTCAGTAGTGGATTTTTGATGTTATCAACTGAGAGTTCTTCGTACCCAGCTTCCAAATCAGATAGTCGTCCACATGCCCGGAATAGCACTTGCCTGCAGTTTCAGCCTTTTTGGCATCACCACTGTTGCGCATCCATCGGATCCATCAGGATTCGAGTCCATGGCCACTAGGAGCTCGCACCTCAAGTTTGCAGCTTCTGCCACTAGGCCACCTGGGATGGCTTCTGACCGTCATGATTTAGATGCTAACTGCGATATAGCGCGTCTTATCCTCCACTGGTATGTTAGTTACGAAAGTTGCAGAGGACGGGGCTGGCTCCGAAAGACACGACGTCCACTATCACTAGCTATGTACCAACTCTCATTTAGAAACGGTTATGGCGGATATATTATGATATACTCATTAGTAGGGGATTTTAATCTGATTAATTTAGGTTTCGTCGCAGCCAACTTCCAAATCAGATGATCGTCCACATGTCCGATAATGCACTGGACTGCAGCTACAGGGTTTTGCGCATCATCAGTAGTGGGCATCTATCGGATTCATCAGGATTCGAACCCGTGAGCACCCGCGGCTTGCACTGTCAGCCAAGGGCTTGTGTCAGTAGGCCACTGGGACAGCTTCGGGCCGTCACGATTTAGAACTTAACTGCGATATAGCGCGTCTGTCTGGTTTGGAAGCTGATGCGACGTACTCTTGAGTACATCAAAATATCCACCCTATCCGTTTTGTTCGCTCTTTGACCTTTGGACATTGTTGTCCCCGGACTATTGGTCAAGTCTAGTGGCGCCAGTGAATTCACAACAGTGACGCTCGATATCCTGCTGCACCTGACTCGTAACATGTGCCAATGGTGCGTTCGCCCTCATTTCTTCGTCTGATGCCTATTTAAATTGCGTATGAGGACAAATCGTCTGTGGGACGGAGTGGATTTTGGAGCTGTGAAGTGAAAGCGGGTTTTGAGCTGTTCTCCGAGCTGAGTGGTTACTGTGCAGACGTTTCGTTGCCTGAATAGGCAACCTCATCAGTGCGACTTCAGGGACCTGGTTCGCAGTGCCTCGTAAGCGACTTCAATGTCCAAGTGCTTATTGATCGAGCACTGTTTTGAATGCCAGGCTTCACTGAACTCACGTGCTTGCCGGCTTTTAGCCCTTCCGAGAGTACTGGCATCCTCTAGGTCGAATTGATGGTTCTCGGCATCCATATGCACTGACATCAAGGAGTTCTGATCGTGGCGACGAATGGCTAGGCTGTGTTCGTGTAGCCTTGTGAAGTGAAAGTTCTCAGAGTTATCTTCCTGGGGCCAACTTGCACACACACGGTAGCCGACTGTTTGTAATCTTGTGGTGTTTACTAGATGTGGGCGTCGAGATCCGGAGTGCTTGCTTAGCGCATCCGAAGTTTGCTCTAGGTCTTACTTTCCCCTATTTACTTTCTCCAGTTGTTTGTTCCTAATTGTTTTACACGCTTCTTATACTTTGTCTCGGAGCTGTTATTCTTCGCATGACATTGTCGATTGGTGTTTCCTTTTTCTGCTCTGGCCCCAGGATTTGCGTGCTGATGTTGCCTTAGCGCATTCAATATCGCGCTTTATTTTCCCTTTTTCTTTTATAGCCAACTTGCTTGTTTACTTTTACCCTTAACTGCACGATATTTCCCCCTCGCCGTTCACACCTTGCTGCCCGCCTGCACAAGCCATTGGCCCTCTTTCTGATATTTTCTTATCTGTCAAGTCCATTAAGTTCTCCGTTTTGTGAACTTCTATCTTATCGCCATTATATCTATCCATTCCACGTTTTTCTCATATCCACTTTTAGCGCGGTCATCTAGTCTGTGCGACTCCTCCCAAAGCCGATCATCGTTTCTGGCTCATGGTCATCAGAGTGACTCGGGTGTGACAACTCAGCCTCCGTTTTCCAAAACCATCCGCAGTCTTGCGCAAGACGACGAACCATCCGCACAAGCCACCGCCTCATTTTTCATCGGTTCCGGTTCGGCGGGTAGCGGTATTCCCATTCATCCGGACGAAGGGGAACGATTGACGCGCAGTCACTCTTCCTCCCCACACGGGCGTTCGGCTGCTTCCTCCGCGACCGATCATCCCGACACTCGTGTACCGGCGAGCGAATTGACGACGGGTTTGGTCACTGAACACCCCCTCGGTGCCACACTGTACGGACGGACGAGCAGTACGTCGTGTGCATGCTCCAGCCTTTAGTTGTTTGTGTTGCCTCCGAACTCCTCTGGCCACATCTTTCCACACTGACATTGGCAAATAGTCATTGTGGCACATGCCCAATAATCCAATAATCTTAACATTCGCATGCCGACTCCTATCTTTGACACCAATGCACACATGCCACAGATATGCTAAATGGAGGAACACTCGCTTCTGTATCATGTCCTAACGTCGCTACCACAACAATTGACTCATTGTCTGTTTTGCTGGCTACTGTGCACGGTTTTCGGGTTGTTTGTTTATTTACGATGTGGTTATTGCCACTCCCACTCTATGAGCCGTTGACGCACGCCGCCGCCTCCTTCACATCACGTGGAATGTAGCACCGGCGGTCACATCCTCCACCCGGAGAGCTTTTCGGCCCTTACACTATGCAGTGGAATGTTTTTGTTTATGCGGACTTAATTCAGCACAACTATTGCTTAACTGGTGGACCAAAAACTGACCCAGTTATTCAAGTCATTGGGGTCTACCGTTCGTGAACGGAAAATCCGGTTGGTTATCAGGCAGAAAACAATTCCGCAGTGTGAGTGAAAATTGAGTTGTGCAGGGAGTCACCTCAAACCGTTCAAATTTATGCATGATGAATATAGCCCTGTGGAAGTCGACAAGTGGCGCTTTGCGGCACGAGAGGAGATGCTCCGCTTTACTCCAAACGAATGCACTGGCTGATTTTCCGATTGCCTGATGTTCCTCGTAACCTTCGGACACTTGTATGCTTAATATTACACTGGCCTCTGTGACGGCGATATGTGAGCGGAACGGTAGGGAAAGTATATAGCATTGACGTATGACCTTAAAATGTGAGTGCCGCAACGTGCAGTATAGACAAGGAAGATCCCGTAACAACAAGGTCGCCCTTTAGTAGACTCGCCACCATGTTTAACCGTAGACGTGTAAAGGTGTCTACGTCGATTATATGAGCGACGTTAAGTAAATAAATGAGTGAAAATTTTATTCTCGAAAAATTCGAGGCACTAGCTAGCGCACTGTCCGTCACGCCCTATCGTCTCCCTGATGTGCATGGGTTATATTTCATTGTGTAAGTGGTTTAGGACAACACCAAGGCATGTTTTAATCTCTGATGACGTGGGTTTGGGCGCAGAGCGTTACACAGTTGACAAGTACGAAGAAAGGAATAACTGACGACATCCCACCCTGTTGTATTGCTTAGCTAACCTAAGCTGGTGGCCTCTCGGGCCCTGGTTCTTTCTAAGTTGTAGAAGGTGGCGGCAAACGAGGCTGGGGTTTCTCAGGATTTGTTGGGTCTATAAGGTTGCGCATGTCTACCGATACTGACTGGTATACCATTTTAGAGCCCTCAGCCTTAGTTAATATGGAAGGTGGAACAATCCTCTGACGTGCGTGATGGCTCTACGTTTTGGAGTCTCGAGCGTGGGTAGGTCTTGTTTCTGTCATAGTTGCCAGACTTGGATAGCGTATCGCGCATGGGGCCGCACGTATTAAGTCTCTGTTGGTAGACCGGTGTGTTCCTTCGTGTGTTTTTACACCATTTATGGCTTCGAGCTGTTCGGGTCATTCTGAACAGGTACTCCAAGGTTACAATACTAGGAATTCATATACAGAACAGCACACATCTACTATACGGCGGATGGCAAGTTTAGTGAGCCGCTTTTTATTTAGACGATTGGAATTGGAAGCGTGAGACCTCCTACGCGCTTTACTTAAACGTTCCATGATTTGTTTGATAACTGCTATCTGCTAGCACCTTTTGGCACCACAGTTTTGCATACGTGCGTCTTGTCCGTACTTCAGTCCTTGTTTTGTCACGTTACACCGACCTTTCTGCCCATTGCATTCGAATATTAACACACATACCTCGCTTCTCATTCTTTAACCGTTATTACCAAACGGTATTGCCACTCCTGGTTGTATTTTTCTTACCATCGGCCTACGAGCTGTTCCATTTCTGCATCATTATTTTGGGGCACACACTCGCTATACGAAGCATGCAGTCTTGTTTCATCGGACTTTTTTAATGCGTTATGCTGTCAGAGCACTATGTGAATACTATGTCTCACTTTATATCACTACTCGGTGCGTTACTTACAGCTTCATTGTGACTTGCTGCCTTTTTCTGCGTATAGATACCACGGAGAACGCTGATCCCCTGGTAAGTTCAGTTTTCACCGGAAATTGACGATAAATCCTCAGCGGTTTCATTTGCTGGTGTCTCTAACTGCTCTCCCTTGCCCGTTGGTATCTTCATCTCCATTATGTCACTACGCCTATTTCGTTTGATTGTTGAATTTGTAGCGAACGCACCGACCACCGAACTGTTCTCAGGAGAGAACGAGTTTTATTGCCATACCCTCTAATCTAAATGATTTCAGCAGCACCATTCACATTATTCCTGAAATGGGAATTCAGAATTTCCACTGGATACTGCCTCGATACTTTCATTGAGACGGTTCTGTGCCTTTTGCGTATACGTGTCATAGCTTCACCTATTCCCGCGCTGACAGTTGTGTAAAGCGTTTCTCCTCTTGACGCTCCACACTTTTCTACTTTGATCTTTTGGACCCTCGCCTCCTTTTGTTGGTTGCATGAATTGCCACTGTTCCCTACAACGAATAGCCTCTACAACGCGGTTCTTCCTCCTTCCACACTTTCCTTGCCAACATCGCTCATTTGCGGAAAGTTGGAGTTCATGGTGCTGTTCTTATGCTATCCGTCCATCCTGCATTGTACACTCGCTTCTTGGTTTTCTACTCTTCATTCCGCCATGTTATTCTTTTATGACCCTGGCAACTCCTCATTTTACTGTCGCGTATTCAGGCGATAATTTTCCTTATTCTCTATGGGTTAGTGTTGGTACGAAGTTTAAATTTTTGCCACGGCCTTTGTCTGCGCTTGTTTATCACGTGATGTAGGCTTCTAACCAGGCAGGCACGTTCCCATCTTAAATTTTGATGGTTATTTGAACGCCCTTTTTCTTGGAAACAACTATTAGTTTACTGGTTTGCAGTTTCAACTCGGCTGGCACGGGACCTTTTCGTAACGGACTTCCTCTACTTACAATGGAAGGTTCCTAAATATAGCTTTTTTTGCTCCTAGTTTCAAACACCACGTCCATATCCAAAATATGTCTGTGTTACCTGACTCCAGCGCACTGTCCGATGCGTTGCAAAAACGTCCTTGGATCATTCTTTGACTGACACTTTTTGCATACATGAGCACAGCGATTGCTTACTTGGTCTTGCTGCGTTTGGGCCTCACGGCATGCATGTGTAAGCCTTCTGCTCAATGGACTACTGGACTTGAACCATTTACATGTAGATCTGTTCGGAATCTCTTTCTGGGCTCATTGAACTTGCGGTCCGCGGCATTGTATAGCAGAAGCTCGAGACGCTTTTGTTAACCTTCGCCACCTATGACGTCGGTGCGACATCACTCTCTCCCTAAAGAATATAGTGTACGACGCAGTGGTACGTTTGACTCTACTGTACGATTGTGAGACGTTGCCCATTAGACCGACCCACATAAAGAGGCTAGTTATGTTCGACCACCAATGCCTTCGCAGTTTGGCTCATACTTGGTAGGAACACCGTGTGAGCAATGAACGTGTTTGGCGCCTTGTTTATGGCGCAGGAAAAGGAAGCGCACCGGTCAGCACCGTTATTTCACGCATCAGGCTCCGATGGCTGGGCCACGTGTTGGGCATGCCAGCCCACCGACTCCCGCGATATGCGTTGTTTACGCGCCGGGGGTGCGGATGGAAGGAGATGAGAGGTGGTCGAGAAGATTGAAGGCCCTCACTTCGAAGCTGGCCTCGGTCGGAGCCTTTCGGCTCCCTGGTTGGGGACCGAAGGACGATAAAAACGTTTGGCTAGGTACTCTTATTGACATGGCTATTAGCCGACCTCAATGACGTTTGTGTTGTGAGTTTCTTTGTCCCTCCCTCTCCCACTTAGCCTCTCCCTGCAACCACAATCTCATTTATTAGGCTTAATACAACTTTTTTGCAGCACAGAAGCCGACTGTTAGCTCTCCGGAACGATGTCCATCCGTTACTGCTGACTCAGCCGTCGTGCCACTCTTACATGTTTTCCTTTCTTGTATTGCGACACATTAGCTGAGGTGTTTTCCACCTGCAGCTAACGTGTATAATGATGGTCCACGTCACAAATCCTCAATCCCACGGGTGTCCCGCCACCAAGGCCTGATTACCACCTCTTATCCTATTCGAATACCCACAAACACCGATATGTTGGTTATTTTAGTAAAAGAGCACCAGAATGCCGTTCGTAGAGACAGTGTATGTGTTCAGCCGTGCGTAAACCGTAATGCCTACTTCAACGGAGCAGCATTCAAGTGCTAACTGTTGCCTAACAAATGGAGAGCTTCTCTTTATTCAGGTTGGTTACAATAGCCTCAGGTTCCTATGATCCACACCAATCCGATCTTGCCTATCGATTTGGGACATCCTACTTGTTTTCCAAATGCAACCCGATCTACTTGAGGCGTCAAAGTTACTTTATAAAGAGACCCAAGGAGTCTAATGAAATGGGCGATTGGCGTAGGTGGTCACCGCGTATTTTGCTAGGTTCTACGCATGCATCTATGCCACCGATAGTGATATTCGGAGTCGTGCAGTCGAGGTCTGCTTGGTGCTCAAGTACTTCCAACATTGGCCCCCTTTAACCTGAGCCGAGGTTTTTTGATTCTATCTGTACACATTTACCATATCGATCAACTCATTAACCCCTTGTCCAATGATATCGCTTCATTTACACTCGGTACCAAGCGGCGCCGATATTAGGACCCTTGCTCACTTTATCATACTTGCAGTCCTCCTTCCCACAAACGCTTAGTTACCTTGCCTTATCTTGTAGCATTTGAAGTGTTTTGCTGCTTTTGCGTGTTATTTGTCTTCAGGTAATGTTTCAGCACCTCCGCCCAATGAAATGGCCTGAAACGATAATTATCCTCAACAGCGGTGCATCCGTACTTTGTACCATACAACTATAGACAAAAATTTACATCCTCGGATGGAATGGTAGAGAGCCCGAGGTGAGAGTACAAATATAAGTGCGTCATTGACCACGTGTTCGTGTCACATCCAACATCGTGACCAACCATTGATGTGACCTGCCTTGATGATCCAATCCAGAAGACGACACGCACCAGCCCAGGGGTTGGTGGCCCTGTAGCTTCACTTTGCGTCCTGAGAGTGCAACGCGTGCGCCTAAGAATAAAGGCACTTATGTGAGTTACTCTAAGGTTGTCTGTATCGCCTCACGAATGTCAAACAGCACTCCCACATCATCATCTGCGTAATCACGATCCCCATGTGACACACCAATACTTGCGCAAGAAAGCACTATGCTGAAGTCCACAGTAGGCTTAAATGAAAGTGGAGAGGAGGGGCGACCCTGACGAACGATATCTACCTTCGGAAATGCTCCTGGCAATTCGCCATAGATCCTAATATGACCCGTGGTATTTGAGCACAGGGCTTTTCCTAGCAAATGTGTCTACAAAAACAGAGCAATCAACTGCACTAAACGAACTCTTGAAACCCACCATCATAGTTATTATCGACCCTCGGTATACCAGATGCTGCTGTCACTGGCTGCGTCTCGGAAGTGTGGTCCAAACGGTTTTTTCCAGGTCTGAAAACTTCATGCCTTCGCTCACCCTGTATTCCGACTTAACATTAAGGTTGTGGACGAGTCTGATGAATAATATTTTTGTTTCTGCTGTTGACAAGCTGATACTCCTTTGGTTACCGCAAGCATTGCACATCCTATTCAAACCTCACCAATTTGGTCGTATCACCCCCTCCACCTGTCACGGTCTCTTCCATATTCGTTCGGGCCGCAGGTCTAACCACCGTCCACTAATAGTACTAGCGTGTGATATAGCGGACCGGCAGCACATGAACGACCGGTTCTGATGTCATGCTTCGGGCTTCAGCCTTGAGTGGAACACCTAAGCTAAGCGGTTACGGTTCAGTCTCCATGGCCAGATTACAAAATGGGCCAAGGAACTGCTCCCGAAAGTACCCTACGATAAATCAAGCGGTTTTCCTTGTCTGGAATTAAAGCGCCGGTCTTCTCCTTTATTCTATTACTGACTCGCAAGTTGCCGGGACCAGTGGTGTGGATCAGCTAGGAGGGTTGTTTTCCTCCCCGGTGCCACCTGTACTTGCTTGGTCGTAAGATGTCGTTCCACCTAAGCTGGATGCACTCAGAACGTTTGGGTAAAAATGTTGTGTGCATGGTCTGGTAGCTTTTCGATTAACAATAAGTGATCGCTTGCTGCACTCACAATAAAGTTTACGGAAATTGGATAGCACGCTGGTGCAACGTCTAGATCAAAGCTTGTGTTCGAGGACGAGCAGTAGTCCAGGATGCAACCACACCAACCGAAACGTAACCTAATGTGATCTATTTAATCGAATTATTGGTTAGCCTCCAGAATCGGCCTGGCTTGCAATGCTTAGGTCACCGATTCGAATCCGATAATGGCGGGCGTCTTCGCGGTATGCTCAGCCCACTCGCGACTGGTGGTTGTCGCGTGGCAGCGAAGCTTCAGTACAGTGTGGCAGTATATTGCTGAGGACATTTTTGACTCTTTTAGCTGCCAGGCACTTATTGTGCATACCTGTTCAGCGTCTTCCGCTTCGTGCGTTGTTTACGGTTGCTGGACTGGGCTGGAGGAGACGGTGTAGTGGATAACCTACAACTTGGGGAACCGGCATAAAAAGCTAATGAAACACTTGGACTCGGTCGGTTGTTCTCGACTCCCTGGTTGAGATCTCAGGGATGCGGAGTGTCGCTGTTTGAAGACCCTGGAAGTTATGGCTCAAGACTATTGTCCAGACACGATTGTGCCAATCCAGTCACACACACACACACACACACACACACACACACACACACACACACATGGTTGGCGGCATCCGTTTCCGAATTTGCCTGTCACTGTGGTCAGCCACAGAACGCCTGCGCCTACGGAGGGACCATGAGTGGCTTGCGCTGCACCACCCACAGCTCCATCCACACATCCCATATCCAGTGTAAACCCGAAGGAGTAAGACAGGGAGGTATGGGATGGGAGCCAGGTTTCATCAACAGAGCCAGCGTACACTCCTTCACAGGCAAACAC